GGATTTAGCTAACAGTCTAAGACCCAAATTTAAATTTGCAAAGTTAAATTAAATTGAAAAAAATTTACCATCAAATTTATCTCTTCATTTCGAGCATCTTGCACGTGTAGCTCTTCACAAGCCACAGCAACTCAGGTTTTGATACTATGAAAAATTATGTTTATTTTGAGAATCAAGCAATACTACGAAACAACAATTGTAATGACATGATGATTCGAACCAAAGTACACATACCTCGAATGCATTTGGTAATGGCGTTTTTAAGAATTCCGAATATTGCAATCGCTAAAAATGCTAATATAAAGTTTTGGATATCGGGTCTAGACCTTGCAACATAGAAAAGTTCAAACTTAATCCGCTAATCCAAATAGTCGTTACCTCTACAAAAGAAATCTAGTTCTTCAATGGAGTCGCTGAAATCGAATTCTTCAATGGAGTCGCGGAATGCGTAGTCATCGGTTGAGTCATCAGGAGAGTCTATGCATGAGTAAGAACGAGGCGAAGACCATCCATCACTATAATCTTCGTAATAAAAAATATCAGCATCCCAATCACAACCTTCTTCCATTGGATCATTCAGGCATTTGAAATCTTTTATTTTTTGAGCAATTCTATCGCCAATCTCTCCACGTAGATCCACTTTGAAACATCTCCGGATATCTAGTGACTTGAGATTCGGACACCCATCAAGAATGGCTTCCAGGCCCTTATTTGTCATAGCACTTCCCAAAACTCGAAGGTGGCGCAAACCAGGCATGCTTCTCGCAATTGCTACTGCTTGAAAATTGATGCAGAAGTCATCATTTTCAAACATCGCACCATGTTTGTATTCCGATGAGCTCAACGTGAATGACTTCAACTTCGGGCAGGACTGACCAATAGGTTCAATGGAGTCGACAACACCTAAGATAGAGACAAAGTGCAGTTCTTCCAGCAGAGGGAATTTCTTGGCTGCTTCAATCAATCCATCGTCTCCTACCTCATAACAATCCCTTATTTCAAGACATCTTAGCTTACTTGATCTGTAGAAATGAGCAAAATTAAAAAGGAAAAAAAACACATATATTGGCACTGCTAAATTGTTCAAAAAAAAAATACTCGTATTTTGAAACATGTGAACTATACATAAATTTAAATTTCCTTGAACTATACTCAGGTGTGATTGAAGCGAAAAATAAATTCATTGTATTACCTTTCAGAGATGTAAAGGAGCAATTGGTCAGTAGCGAAACGATCAATGTGGAGTTCAGTCAATTGCCCTTGGCTCCGATCTACTGCCTCACGGCACATGGCTTCAAGGTATTCGTCTTCATCACTCAGATGTTTCATATCAATAACACGCCACATGGAAGGGTCTTTGCAGATGTTTCTCCATGAAGAACAAACTCCTTGTGCATTTTCCAGAATTTCGTAAGCACCCAATCGATGAAGGATGTTGGCAATTACGTCCTCGGGAAGTTCAAGGAAGCGATTGAGACTGCTCCCAGATTCTCCATCTTTTGAGCCTCCACATGTTTCAGCAATTTTCGGTCATCTCATTTTTTAAGGTTAGAAATTACTAAATGCATGGTTTCTAAATCACTATGTATTAGATTCACATAGTTATAAAACTGAAAGGCAACATTTATCCTAGGAAGGATACCTTTTTGCAGGTCATGGACATTCTATGTTTTTATTATCTATAAAACTCTCGCTTGGATGTTCGTTAACAAATTATATGTACACCTCATTAAAAACAAAAAAAAAACTAGTGAAGAAAAACAATTCACTGTTTCAACAATGCTGCCTCATTAAAAATCTTTTTCACAAAAACAGTGTGTAAAAGTTTGGCTAGGTTCTTCCAAATTACTATTCACAATTCAAACTTTATTCAATTTCTTGATCTATTTTCTTTAATTATTTGACAAAATAAAGTAGTCTTATCTTGTCTTGTTTTGTAGATATTTTGATTAGTTTTTTAATATACATTTTTTTTTTAATTTTCACACCAATTTTCATATAACATAAATTAAAAATAAATTCAATCAAACATCTTAACGTGAACTTGAAAAAACTTCAATCAAACATCGTAAATAGAACTTAATAAATTAATGACTATTTACACATAAAAGCAGAAACCGAAATTCATCATTTATATACCTTTCACATGTGTATTCCAGCAATCCATTGGTAGCAAAGTGATGTATATATATAAATGGAGTTCAATCGTCCTTTGCTGCGATCTTCTGCGTTACGGCACAGATATCGGCGGGTTCCCATGGAGTTTTAGCCATGGCGGGAGGCGGCGGAGGAGATTGCGATTCCCTCGATCTGCTCATCTCAGGTTTTAGGTTTGGCATAAAATGTTCTGTTTCGATTTCTATTAGAGCGAATTTGTAAACAGTGAAGTGCAAAAATAATTTTAGTTTTTAAACTAGTTTCTTGTACTAATATCTCATTAAAAGTATTTTTATGCTCAAATACAATATGTTTTTTCTTTAATTAAAGTTTAGAATTCAGTCCGTTTGATTCAAAAAATCAAACTACACAATTGTAATGAGACGGGCGGAGAATTAATGTGCATTATTATATTTATCTTGAATTAAACATTTTTATTTTTGAATACTACCACAAGTCGAGGTAGCAACTTGTTCTTTATTTGAGTTCTCTGGAATTGAATCCATAAATCTAAACATGAAGCTCATAACCTTTCAGAGATGTAAGCCATCAATTGATCTGAAGCAAAACGATCAATGTGAAGCAAAATATATGTAATTATATACAATAGTTCTTCTAATATACTCCCTCCGTCTTTAAAAATATTTATCATTTCTTTTTATCTGTTCTAAAATATCTTTCTCATTTTGATTAACAAGTCGTCTTTATCCATACTAATTCTTAAATTATATATCACATCACATCTATTCACTATTAATTTACCTATCAAATTTTATTTTTACACATCAAATTCAAGAATATTTTTAGAAATTCAACATTAAAATACACTTATTTTAAATCCCTTAAAAATAAATCCTCTCATGGTTTTAGGGACGGATAGAATATATACTACCTGAGTAGGCAAGTATTCTAAATGAAGGAGGTATGATGATTTTTGGATTGGGGCTGGATAGTGAGAGTTTACTAGAGGGGTTAGGAGGCTCCAAATGTCAAAAGAAGGAAGCTCTATTATTATTATTATTATTATTATTATTATTATTATTATTACGTAGTATAATTAATATTTAATTATGTGTTTTATTAGAAAAAAATAATAAAAATTGAGTAATATATTGAAAAATGTTAAAAAAAGATAAAATAAAGTCATTGACAATGATCAATGATTAAAAAATTGATTCTTCTTCCCCACATTATTACAAAATAAAAACCTTTTATAAATATCATATAATTATAATAATAAATAATAATTAAAAAAAATTATTTTTGAAATTGGAATGTGTTAGCCACTTGTCCGGTGGAAACAAATTATAGTAATCTTTTTCTTCTTCTTCTCACCCGGGCAATTCTTCTCCTTTTACTCGGCGGCCCAGAGCTCTGCCTAAAACAGGGGTACATTTTGATGCAAAGCAAACACTTAAATAACTAGGCTTTACTCTTTAGCATATTTCCATTCCGAAGATAACATGAAAAATTATGTTTTTTGAGCATCAAGCGGTATTAAGAAACGACAGCAATTCTAATGACATGATCGGTCAAGAAAAAAGTTCACATACAGCAAATGTTGTTGGCAATGAGGTTATTGTACAAAGTAATATTTTTAAGGATTCCGAATATTACAATGGAAAAAAACGCTAATACGAAATTCCAAATGCCCGCAACCTGTGGAGAAATTAGTCAGATTCTTCACTCGAGTAGTCTTGTCCGTAGTCTTCACTGTAGTCTTCCCGACTGTGATCCACCAAGACATCAAAGTAGTTGACAATGCCAGCCTCATAATCACAGCGTTCCACCGGATCATTGGGACGTTTGAAATCTTTTATTTTTTTCGCAATCATATCCACAATCTCTCCATGTACGTATAGACATCTCCGGATATCCAGTGACTCCAGATTAGGACACCCATCAAGAATGGCTTCCATGCCCTTTTTTGTCATACAATCTCCCACAAGTCGAAGGTGGCGTAAACCAGGCATGCTTTTCGCAATTGCTAGTGCATCATAATTCACATTACAAGTGTCATAAATGTTTTTGCAGTCAGTGAACGTGAAAGACTTCAGCTTCGGGCAGGATTGACCAATAGCTTGGATGGAGTTGTGAGCACTTATGACATGGACAAGGTGCAGATCTTCAAGCAGAGGACATTTCTTGGCTACTGCAATCAATCCATCATTTCCAACTCCTTGGCAATTCCTAATTAGCAGACATCTGAGCTTACTTGATCTGTAGACATGAGCAGATTATAGATATGATGGAACAGCAGATTATATAAAAGATAACTCGTATTTTGAAACACATGAATTACAAATTTCAATTGAAATTCCCTTGAAGTTATGAACTATACTCCAGTGTGAAATGAGTCAGAAGCAAACAATAACAAATTCATCATACCTTTCAGAGATGTAATGGAGCAATTCATCTGTAGCGAATCGATCAATGTGGAGTTCAGTCAGTTGTCCTTTGCTCTGATCTACTGCCAGACGGCACATGGCTTCGAGGTATTTGTCGTCATCACCCAGATGTTTCATATCAATAAAACGCCACATGGAAGGGTCTTTGCAGATGTTCCTACATGAAGAACAGACTCTTTGAGCATTTTTCAAAATTTCGTAAGCACCCAATCGACAAAGGATGTTGCGAATTACATCCTCAGGAAGTTTGAGGAAGCAATTGAGACCACTTCTCAATTCTTGATCTTCTTTTGAGGCTCCATTTCTTCCTGCAATTTTTGCTCATCTCATTTGTCAGGCTAGGAATTAAATTCTTGGTTTCTAATCACTGTACACAGGTGTCACATAGATACAAAAGATTAAATGCCTGGTTTCTAATAACCACATATAGGATTCACATAGTGATTATGCAAATTCTTATACAAATCACATGTGTGAAATAGTGTGTTATACAAATCATAGTAAACTCTACAACCATATGCCCAAATATTTGGTTCCTAATTTAAATAAGATCTTATCAAGGGTTCCACAAATATACCTCATTACAAGCATTACTTTATTCCAACGCTTGTAGTTGGAAAAAAAAATGTCTTCTTTTGAAAGACTCCACAACTCAATCTTGCTAACAAGCTTTGCAATAAGAGGTTAATGTAATCGTATTTTATTCAGGAAAATTATGCAATGCACCATAGCATCAATATAAGGTCTTGCAAAACCATGTAGTTCAACACCATTTTTATGGAAAGTCAATAATTTTCAATGATTTCTCAACAATTTGGGGTGCGCTATATCCATGTTCTATGACTTCTATCTATAGAATCATTGTTCAAGACGTTTGAGATTAAAGTTAGTTTCACATAATTTGCAATCTCTATGGGAGATTTGGTGATCTTAAACAACAACAACAACAACATTACCCCAGTGCCCATTGCGCAGTGTGGGGGAGAGGGGTCGGATGTACGACCCCTATGTTTAAAACATAGAGCGGCTGTTTAAACGAGCAATATAATTTGGAACATCACAAATTCAAATCCAAATCATTCCATTTATAACTAACAAGTAAGATCAAATTCATACTAACAAGAACTGAAATTTATTAATGTACTTATGGTATCGGTCCGTTATGTACACTCAGCTGGTGTGTTTGTGATAACAGCACTTTACTTCATCAAATGGTGTTCTTCAAAAAGCTCCGAAATCAGAATTTACAAAAATTAAAAAAAATATGCATAAATACTTGACTGGCAACTCCATAGAGGCGTACAGGGAAAGTCATACAGTTAATGATTAGTACACATAAAAAGCAGAAAACGAAGAAAATTCATCATACCTCTGAGCAGAAAACGAAGAAAATCCATTGGTACCAAGCAAATTGATGAATAGGGAGTTCAGTCAGCAACTGTCCATGGCTCGAGGGAGGCGATTGTGGCCATTCTATGTCAGATCGTCTCAGATTTAGTTCAGGTTTGAGATGAAAAATGATCTGTCTATGTATAAATAATATACTCACTGCCATAAATAGGGTTTAGAATCCGTCCCCGCCCCCACACGGCTTCCATTACCGGGACGTATTAATGATCCGGCGGACGGAGAGTGGGAGAATAGGATGATGATTGAACCCACAATTCCGACCTTCTTTTCTCCGTGTATGAGTGACTCCACAAACTTAGTACAATTTATACTTTAAATTCTCATTTTAAAATTATTTTATGGTATGTTTGGAAACATGGATTTTGATTTCAAATCCGGATTTGGTTCAAATTCCATGTTTGGGAAACTTAAAAATTTTGAATTTAGATTTGAGTCAAATTCTTCTCATTAGATTATTTAATTTTCTTATAGAAGTTCAAAAATAGTACGTTTGTAAAGTTTGTGATGATTGTGTTTGTGAACCAAGCATTTCCCTGAGTACTAAGGCCCCGTTTGTACACGGAATTCAAACTGTGGAATTGGAATTGAAGATTTCAATTTCAATTCAGGTGTTTAGTAACACAAAAATTATGTGAATTTGGAATTGATAGTGCAAAAAATGAATTGAAATGGGTGAATTCAATTCTATGGAATTTCAATTCCAATTCCCTCAATTCTGTATACCAAACAGACCCTAAACTTTTTCTTTTCTTACGGGTTAAGATATAGTTGTGTTTGACTGTTTGGTTAAAAGAATTTGGAAGCAAAAGAAAATGATTTTTTCTCAGTTTTCTCATCGGGTACATTTTACCTTTTCTATCTTCTTTTCTTTCCAATTTTCTTTTCTAACCAAACAAGAAAAAAGTCTTCCTTCTCTGTTTTTTCCTTTCCTTTCCTTCTCAAATTTCACGAGCCAAACATAGTGCTAGAGGGTGTTTGTGTAATAGCCACACAATTGGAAGAGTAAAAGCCTAAAAGGGGGGGTCTAGGTGGGGGTGCAGGGGTCAGGTTGTGGCGGGGTGCGACGGGTGGTTTAAGGAGAGTTAGAGGGATATGAATCATCAATTTTTCATTTAGAGCACGAGAAGAACTTCAAATTAGAGTGTCATCCGTTGACACTCGAATCCTATATCAACAGAACTTTGTCGCAAATAATTTTATCTTTTAGTACTCTTTCAAAAATTATCACTTTTCGTTATCACGAAAAATATTCTCACAATTTCTTATGTGTGCGAGTTTTGGCTCGCGATTATAATTCTAACGTTTACTTAGGGGAAGTTTTTGAAAATGCTTTTTTTTTAACAAATGCAAATTAACGAAATAAATTTTTTAAGAAGGGGAAGGTCACATTCCCATATTCGTGATGACTTTGGCGCCGTGAAGGGCAACACCCACTCAGTGAATATGTGACTCTTCGCCGTATATCTTTTCTCTCGTTGTGCAAAACAAAGTGAAATCTCAATTATTTTTTAATTTATATTATTTAAGTATTGGTATAAAAGATAAAAAATAACTTATATATTTAAAAACGACATCAAAAGGTCAACAAAACAAATAATAAAAATATTTAACTTTATTATATAGACTATAAAAATTACAAATAAATAAAAGTTTGAATGACATTAGAATAGTCCAATAAAAAGAAATACTCCGTATATAGGACGAAAGAAATGTAAAGTAGAAAAATAAAGTACTGAGCAAGCATATATGTAATGTGCCATTCATCAGCACAACAGCAAAATTTTACTTCACTATTCCTCCAAAATTTATAAACAAGAAAAACAAGTCCCCTTTGGTTATAAAGACATCCAAAATATAAAGTTTTGGGATCTTATATATGTGCCATTACATGCTTCCAAAACTCATCCCAAAGAGTGTCTAAACCTTGCAACATAGAATGTTACAAGTTAATCAAATCACCCAAAAATTCAAAGACTTGCACTACTTACAGAGAAATAAATCAAACTCCTCAAGAGCATTCATACGAGTAGTCCCTCGGGCAATAAAAAACATCAGCATCCCAAACACAACCTTTTTCCATCGGATCATTCGGGCATTTGAAGTCTTTTATTTTTTGAGCAATTCTATCGCCAATCCCTCCATACAGATCCACGTTGAAACATCTCCGGATATCTAGGGATTCAAGATAAGGACACCCATCGAGAATGGCGTGCAAGCCCTCATTGGTCATTCTATTTCCCACAAGTCGAAGGTGGCGCAAACCAGGCATGCTTTTCGCAATTGCTAGAGCTTCATAGTCATTGTTGCAGTCATCACTATGTCTATAGTCTGATGAGCTCAACGTGAACGAATTCAGCTTTGGGCATGACTGTCCAATACGTTCGATGTACTCATGAACACCTAAGACATACACAAAGTGAAGTTCTTCAAGTAGAGGAAATTTTTTTGCTGCTTCAATCAATCCATCTTCTACTTCATGAGAACCCCTAATTTGAAGACATTTTAACTTACTTGATCTGTACAAATGAGCGAATTATGGTTAAAAAGGGGGGAAATATATTAGGGTTAGAGACATTTGACACCATCTTTGTCTGAGACATTTAGCAAAGGTGCAGACACGGAACAATGACAAATGAATGAGATGTCTATATACAAGAAGAATGATGTCAAAAAATTACTAGTTGTGAAATGAATCTCTAAAGCAAACAACAAATTCATTATACCTTGCAGAGATGAAATCAAGCAATCCATCTGTCGCGAAATAATCAATGTGGAGTTGGGTCAATTGTCCTCGGCTCCAAACAACCGCCTTACGGCAAATCGCTACAAGGTATCCGCGGCCAATGGGACCAATGCAAGAATTGTCACCGCTCCGATGTTCCATATCAATAAAACGCCACATGGATGGATCTTTGCAGAGGTTTCTCCACGAAGAACAAACTCTTTGGGCATTTCCCAGAATCTCTTGCACGCCCAATCGATGAAGGATGTTGCCAATCACATCTTCAGGAAGATCTAGGAAGCGATTGAGGCTGCTTCTTGATTTCTTATATTTTGCGCCTCCACTTGTTTCTGGAATTTTAGGACATCTCATTTTCAGGATATTGACAATAAATGCTTGGTTTATAATAACTTCATATAGGATTCACATAGTTACAAGATTGAATGGCAGCATTCATCCTAGGAACATTACAACAAACTAAAACATCCCACATTAAAACTTTTTGTCATGAAAACCCAACAGAAAAAAAAATTGGTGGAGAGATTAATAGTACACTGTTTAACAATGGTGCCTCACTCAAAGTCTTGGCAAGAAAAACTGTTGGAAAAAGTTTGGCTAACAATGATGCCTCATTCAACTTTCTCATCTTGTTCGTCCCATAAAACATTTCAATTTCTCCAAAATGGACTACAATACCCTTCTTTTTCACATCTCATATTACTTTTTACTTTTTACTTTTTAATTAGAGCATTCACAATGGCAAGTAAAGAAATGGAATGCCACACGCTGATGTGACATAATTTAAC